CTGTAAATAAGATGAGGAGATGGATTGTGTATCTCTGAAACTTGTGGAGATTACAAAAGTGAGCGAATTCACAGATTGAAATTATAAATATTCACTCACTTTTGTAATTTTCGTAAGTTTCAGAAATTGACCTCCAGATAACAACAGTTATACGCTGTATCTACGAGATCAAGATCGGTAACTCATGAGCGAGTTCTTAATCGCGTAAGGCGACGCCAGCGCTACAAGTGGCAAAATTTTAATTCACTGGATGGCAAAAATGTCGGCCCACTTTCGGTGACGTGATCCAGACCTAGTTCGGTCTCCTTATACATTCTCCATGACAGCACCGATGGACCAGAATTCATAGTTAGATTTTATATTCAAGACTGTTTTAAGATCATCTTTAGATACTCCGTAGCCAATGAAATGTTCCATACAGCATCTTTAGATAAATTCACGATGGTCTTGAGTATAAGATCTGACTATGAATACCGGTCCTAGTGTACATACATACATACACTTCTGAATTTGTACTATAGGCTGTTTACGTGATTTAGAAAATAATATACTGTAACGACGTTAAAGCTCTTTATTTTTCGTCATCCTTTCATCCACGCCATATATTATACATATATGTATATTATACTTCATGTCTCGCCCTTCGAGATTACGAAGGTACCTAGTACCGTTACTCCATGCCTAACCAGTCACAATTTTAGAGCCAAAAATTTTTTAAATCTGCCGCCGCTGGCCCAATCCAGCGGCCCGGTGTGGTCCGGTGTGGCGCCTCGCTGCCACTGTCGTCTTCCCTCGTCATTCGTTTTCTTTGTGCCAGACAAGTCACATCTAGAGCGTAGTCACAAGAAAATATTTGTTCGTAGAGATCACACAGCAGAGAATAGGAAAACAGGGAATTATGGAAAAGGCTGAAAAATCTGGAGAGCCTAATTGAATCTCGTCTACCAGTAAGATATCCACTCCGAGAGAACGTCGACATAAGCAACAGAAACTCACCGGAAATATCCCACAGGAAAATCACAGGTAAGAAATCATCGGAAATCTTAGCAAAATAGATTGAATGGTTGAGCTCGGACGAGAGCCGAGACATAACCAAAATTGATAGTCCGGACGATCTTATACGAGAGATAAGGCGTGTTCCGAATAATAAGACTGAGCTCGGACGAGAGCCGAGACATAACCCTAATGACTCACCCCGGATGAGTCGTGTTACAAATAATGAGGTTGAGCTCGGACGAGAGCCGAGACATAACCAATCAAGCTATTGGACAGCTCGATACGCGCTATAGAGCATGTTTGAACCCATTAGATAGCTACCCGAGGGAGGCGGGACGCGTCATAACATTTTTATGTACCGACGCCGGGGCCCGGACCTACAAATTTTATCCTAACCTAAAATTTCAGGTACATCGAGTGAAATCGCAAGCTCATCTGAAAGATCTGGGATAATTGGGGAGTGGACCACTCTCTCGGGATTCAAGTGGGATTCAACTAGGATTCAACCGGAGAATGCTCCGGCTAGTAATTCAACGAACCCGACTCAAAGAAGTCAGACCGAAGAAGCAGAGGCTACACCGCTCACTAATCAAGCTGCTTCAACAGATAAAAATAGCGAAGACATCTTCGATCTAGATGAGGAAACGCTAAAGATCATCGGCGAAGAACCTTCAAAGGCCCTAAAGGAGCTAGAAATTCATTCCAGCTTGGTAAATCGCTGGAACCCCTGGTTAAAACAGGGGCTAAAGAGGGAGGCAAGAGACGAATTACTCAAGAAATACCCTAGAGCAGGTCCTTGCTCTCTGGAACCACCAATCCTTAATCAAGAACTGAGCTCACTGAATACTAATATTCTAAAGAAAGACAAATACTTTACGTTTACTCAAAACTTGGCAGGCGCAGCCCTTTCGACTCTGGTCCCTGTCATAATAGATTTGGTACCGATGAAGTCAAAAGAATCAAAAAGAAGGCTGGAAAACCTATGGGACGCAGCCCAGTTATTGGCGGAAATTCACCATTCACAGACAATAGCGCGAAGAGCATGTATCCTCCCAAGTGTCTCGAAACAGATGGCCGATCAGCTAATGAAAAGAGAAGCAGATAAATACTTATTTGGCGAAAACCTAGGTGAAAGAATCAAGGAGATAAAGATGATCAACAAGTTGGGACAAGATATGAAAATACAACCGAAAACCACACCCAACTTACAGAGTTCGTCAAACTGGAAAGGCCCACTGGTATCTCTGAAGTCGCCGACCCAGTCGGGCCCCAAATATCGTCCTGAACAGTCAAGGAGGCCGGCAGCATCGGAATCAACGAGGAAATCCTACCCGAAATCGAGCAGTTACCGAGATCGCGCTCGATACCGAGACAAATCCAGGCATCGCTAGAGACACACCAGATCTTGACATTGGCCGGAAGGCTGACAAATTTCATAAATGCCTGGAAACTTATCACATCTGATCCTTTGTTCTGGAATGCGTAAAAGGTTATAAGATACCGTTTAACTGTTTACCTGAAGAGTCTCAAATCCCTCCCATGTGACATTGGTCTCAGTCCGAATATCTCAACCTACAGGGGGAAATAGATCGTCTCTTGTCAATAGGAGCAATAGTTCCCTGCGAACCAACAGAAGGTCAATTCCTCTCTAGCTACTTTTTGGTTAAAAAACCCGATGGCAGTAGTAGGTTTATCTTAAATCTTAAAAAGCTCAACCTTTTTGTAGAAACTGAACACTTCAAATTAGAAGATCTTAGAGCAGTATGCAGGTTACTAGAACCCAACATGTTGATGGGATCAATCGACCTAAAGGATGCTTATTTTCTTATTTCTATACATAAAGAATATAGGAAGTTCCTTCGTTTCAGATTTAATTCTTAAATATACGAGTTTACTTCCTTACCTTTCGGGTTAAGCTCGAGCCCCCTGGTGTTCACAAAGTTGATGAAACCAGTGATGAATTTCTTGAGATCACGAGGTTTTTTGTCAGTTATCTACCTAGACGACATTTTATGTTTGGGTGAAACAGAGTCAGTTTGTCAAACTAATATCCAGACTACTTATAATTTCCTAGAATCATTGGGTTTTGTAATAAACGGGAAAAATTCGAAACTAAATCCAAAACCTATCTGCAAGTATCTTGGGTTTGTCATAAACTCCGTCCAGAGGACTATAGAATTGCCACAAAAGAAGAAAATAGAGTTACTTAACAAGGTTCGTAGGATAGAAAGAAAGAAGTCTTGCTCGATTCGAGATTTTGCCCAATTCATAGGCCTATTAGTGGCAAGTTGCCCAGGTGTCGAATACGGTATGATCCACTCCAAATCGTTAGAAGTAGCAAAATTACAAGCGCTTGAAGAACATGAGGGTAACTTCGAAAAAACTATGAAAATTCCTAAATCAATTAAGGGGGATTTAAGTTGGTGGAAAAGAAATTTGGAGTCTTCGTACAAGAAAATCAAATCAATGTGTTTCGAAAGAAAAATTTTCTCAGACGCTAGTAAAACGGGCTGGGGAGCTTACTGTAGTAGTAAACAAGCTTATGGGCACTGGACTTCCAAACAATCAGATCTACACATAAACCAGCTGGAATTAAAAGCTGCTCTACTAGCACTGAAATGTTTTGCCAACGACCTTTCGGATTGCGAAATCCTGCTCAGGATAGACAACACGACAGCGATGGCTTACATTAATAAAATGGGTGGAGCGAGAGTAGATTATTTACACAAAGATGCGGAGAAACTCTGGAATTGGTGTGAAGAGCGACGGCTGTGGGTATTTGCCGAATACATTTCTTCTAAGGAAAATAAAAAGGCTGACGCGTTGTCTAGAATACAAAATATAGACACCGAATGGGAACTGGCGGATTACGCCTTTCATCAGATTCAAAAACATTTGGAGAACCGGAGATCGATCTGTTTGCCTCAAAAACTAACAAAAAGTGTAAGATTTAGTCCTCATGGGAGAGAGACCCTGACGCAATTGTCATCAATGCTTTCACACTCTCATGGTCAAACTTAAACTTTTACGCATTCCCACCTTTTAGCATAATTGCCAAGGTGCTTCATAAAATTAAAGTCGAGAAAGCTTCCGGTATCGTAGTGGTACCTCGCTGGACTAGTCAGATATGGTTTCTAGTATTTATGAAATTGGTCAAAGGTTCGTATTTAGAATTTCATCCAAATGTCAATCTCTTACTCTCACCTTGCAGAACACGGTATCATCCATTAGCGTCCAAACGTACCCTGGTTGCCGCCAGGTTATCAGCGAAGCCTCGAGACGAAGAGGAGCATCAGAGAATACAACGGAAATAATGATGAAAGCGTGGAAAGATTCAACAATCAAGCAATATAATAACGCACTGAAATTATGGTGGGACCTGAACACTAAGGAGAATTCTGATCCCTTTGACGTATCGATACCGAAAATCTTAAAGTTTCTAACGTTAAGATACCAAGAGGGTGCAAATTACGGAACACTGAACTCGCCAAGGTCGGCATTGGCAGTTATATCTACGGAGGACATTGGAGCTAACGATCTAGTCAAAAAATTTATCAAAGGATCGCTGAAGACGAGACCAAACAAACCTAGTTATGATTCGACATGGGATGTGGATCCAGTATTGGAAAAACTACAGAATTGGTTCCCATTGGAATCGTTAACTCTAAAACAGCTTTCACAGAAATTAGCTCTCCTATTAGCGCTCGGTAGAGCCCATAGGTTACAGACGTTAGTTTTAATCAAAATCTCCAACATATTCTCGTTTATATCCAACATAATCTCGACAGGGGTTTAGAAATCAAAATTCCGGACCGAATAAAATCATCGGAAACAAGTACCAAGCGACCGGTCCTGAAACTCCCTTTCTTCAACGAGAAACCGGGCTTGTGCATTGCAAAGACCTTACTCTATTATCTAGAAATCACGCAATGCCTACGAAATGGAGAGGACGCACTGTTTATCTCATTCCAGAAACTGCATAAGAGAGTAAAAGAGGACACCCTTGGGAGATGGATAAAATCAAGTCTGATCACCCTAGGAGTGAACAAAAAATTTACAGCATACAGCACTAGGCACGCCTCAACCTCAAGAGCTTTCGAAAAGGGAGTAAATATCGAGGAAATTAAAAGAGTAGCCGGATGGTCTCCAAATTCAAGAGTATTCGCGGATTATTACAACCGCCCTATAGTACTTACAGAAGATACCTTCGCAAGGACGGTCTTATTACCTAAGAGTTAAAAAAACCACGGGTTCCATTGATCATACATAAATATATATACATATATGTACCTATATGTAATATATATGTTACTTCAAAAAATTGTTTAAGCTCTAAAGTTCTACCTTCGTAATCTCGAAGGGTGAGACACGAAGTATAATTGGAGGACCAACCGAACCCGCCGAAGGCGGGCGAAGGTTGGTCTAGATTATACGAGTGTCTCGCCCGAGAGATTCCCACCCCAGTTCTATTCAACCCACCCAGAAGAAAAAGAAACAATTTTTCGAAACAGCTAGCTCTGAACGAAATGACGAGGGAAGACGACAGTGGCAGCGAGGCGCCACACCGGACCACACCGGGCCGCTGGATTGGGCCAGCGGCGGCAGATTTAAAAAATTTTTGGCTCTAAAATTGTGACTGGTCAGGCATGGAGTAGCGGTACTACCTTCGTAATCTCTCGGGCGAGACACTCGTATA